CTTACATGCATATTCTTTTGCGTGATTTATTTTCATCCTCAAAAATCAAGGATCCAGCCATAGGAGCGAACGAAACTACCCCATACAGACCATACGACTACGGTAACACACTGGACGTCTGGGTCAAAGACAACAAAGGGAACACTCAGTTTGGAAAGGTGAGCTTTTATTCCAGAGGAATTGAATGTTTTCTTGATCCAATGTTGCTGATACCAATGTTCGTATTTTGTCAGGTTTGGCCGACGTATGAGAACACCGTTGTTAATAGCAGCTTGGATTGGGACGAGCAAACTAGAGTAAGTATTAACAATTAGCCTTAACTTAGGCCATGAGGGCGAGAGGACTAATTGTTTTAGTCAAATCCAACTAGTCGGTCAAATATGTAGACGCAAACAATCTTTGAATTAAAGTTAGACTTAATGTTTTGGTTTTCGAAGCCGGCACCTTTCGCTACTGGGATATAATATAATTTATAGCCTAGTAGTAGGCATCCAATCAGAATGCAGCATTGATGTTAGATCACTAGTTGGATTTGACTAAAGTAGACCTCCTTTGTTCGGGAGTCCCGCGGGTGGTACAGCAATAGTGTACTCAGGTCAGGCCAGGGTTGGTTCCCGGACTTGGAATAACGTGTGATTAAAGTTTGTCATGTCTTTAGCTTTATTTAGGGTTTTTCTCCGGGCATATCATTTCCCCTATTCCTCCCTCTGCAAAACCTGTAATTCGATTATTTGTGAATTAATCTTGCTCTTAGTTTGATTAGCCCAAAAGCTGTATCCCTTGTTGTTGTTGTCGTCGTCGTCGTCGTTGTTGTTGTTTTCGTTGTTGTTGTTGTCGTCGTCGACGTCGTCGTCGTCGTTGTTGTTGTTGTTGATGGATTTGTCATTTTCTTACCAGCTGTATCGCCAGTGGGCAGCATTTCCTGACTACTTCCACAATAACGCCACTACTTACTGGGGAACACTCATCAGAGACTTCCACAAGGAGGTTGAATTTGATGGTTTATGGATCGTAAGTATCAATAATAACCATCGAATCCAAGCGAAGACAGACAGACTAATAACGTGCTCTTCGATAGCAACTGTCACATTCAAAGAGAAAGAGAGAGATTTACAGCAATGATAAATTACTGTCGACCTGGTCCTTTAATTATCTTAACACTTTTAATGGGGTACGCCTCGTCAAGGCTCGCACTTAATCTTTTTATCCACTAGCATTTCCATTTCCAGGGGTTGTCCTGCGGTGCGCCGCACATGTACACACCTCCCCCCCCCCCCCTAACAATCCTGGATCCGCCCCTGATTTCTATTTCTTAATGAAAACAAATTGGTCAGATCCAAGAAACAGTTACTTTCTTTTTTCTTTTTTTTTTCCTACCAACCCCATCCTCATTACTCCCTTCCCTTTTACTTCTGTAATAATTAGCAATTAGTCCTTGTGCTATGGGTTGTTGACTCATAGGCCATGAGGGCGAAAAGACTACTTGTTTTAATTAAATTAAACTAGTATTTAATGTTTTATTTTTGAAGCCGGTAATTTTCGCTACTAGTAGGATATAGCTTATAGTCTAGTAGCAGCTCATCCAATCAGAACGCAGCAATGATGAGAAAACCACTAGTTAAATTTGACTAATAACCTTTATTTTAATTCGAATTCTTATCGTTCGAGATGTTCTGGAAGAGATGCCGTCATTCTGCCTGTTCCTTTTGTCGTCCCGCCCTTCTCTCCCTCTCTTCCGTTCATTCATTCATTCCTTTCTTTCCTTCTTTCTTCTATAGGACATGAACGAGCCTGCAAACTTTGTGACGGGAACTATTTATGGCTGTCCAAAGACTAAATGGGATTATCCACCATACAAACCAACAAGTACGTCAAGCATTCGTAGACGTGCGCATGCAATATTTAGCAATTATTTGCAGAAGGCGAAGTGTGAATATCGGGCATTATATTCAGAGACGTGAGTCTTTGAGCTTAGTATTTTTAACACAAATTAATTCAAAGAGAAAGATTTTTTGTCTTTTCAAATTTTATTATCTCTGCAAGCGGCACAAATCGACAAACGAGCGTGCGCGTGCGCGAGTTTTATTCACTTGTAGATGAATTTGGCAGCATAAGACGTAAATTGTGACCAACGAGAGCGCCGGATTTATTATATCCACTTGTGTAAAAATATTAACATACGATATGAATTGCTGCATGCGCAAAAGTCGATATTCTACAAATATGTGCATAGAATAATTGTATAGGAGAATTGAGGCAGGTACGACTTAATACTCGAGTTTCGAGTTCTCTGTTGCTCAGGGTTAGCCTCGATGTTGGGGCAAGGTTGCAGGTCTAAGAAGATCTAACCCAATTGGATGAATACTCTAGAAAGAGAAAAACTAGAAACAATACAAGAGAACGAGTCGACAATGAAAACTATTTGTTTGTTTTGACCAATCTCGACAGCTCTTCTTAACGGGCGTGAATTTCTAAGTGTTTGTATTGTTGAAGCTTTGCATTCTTTACTTTACCGTTGGTATTTGTGAATATTTAAACACTGATACGAGGCTAATACTGAGTAAATGAGTCTGTAATCAAGGAACACAGCGGTAATAGCCAATGTGCACGAGCACAAATCTCTAACACAAAGCATGATGGGAAACCGAGTATTTGTGGTTTTTCAGCTCCCCAAAAAATTATTCTAACAATTTTTCCTTCGAATTTTTTTATGGAAATGTGAGTATTTAAACAGATAAAAATAACAGAGTAATTTTTTTCTGATAATTCTGTTTATTTCCTTGTTCTGATTTGTGTAGTACTCAGTTTCTCATCATGCTTTGTGCTAGAGATTCATGCTCGTGAACATTGACTATTTGGATATTCGAAACTGGTCTAGTGACTTCCTCGACTTGGGTGAAATGTTGTCCCATTTCAGACGACCATGTGTTATTTCCCTGAGAATAAGATTCTTTGTTGGAGTCGTATCCATATTCATGTGTCTTCTCATCTGCAACCGAGCGCAACCGTTGAAAGGATACTCTAGGGAATGACGCGTGGTTTGAAATGGGACAACATTACGTGAACTCGTTCATTCAAAAAGAGCGATTGTTACTGAGTAACAAAATGCTGTGATACTAACTAACGTTTACCCCATGTATCAGGTGTACTTGGTACGGTTCTTGCTGACAAGACACTTTGTATGAGCGCGCAGCACGCCACTGGCTTACACTATGACCTGCACAGCCTGTATGGATGGAAACAGTCTATCGTCACACAACAGTAAGTACTTGATTTCCTTTAAATTCCTTTAAAGTTATTATTATCAAAGAATAAAGTTATTATTATTGTTATTATTATTATTATCATTATTATTTAAATAATAATGCTTTATTGAGTCTTGCATCATCGCGTGATGGCAGCTATGACAGGAGGTACAACAATAGAGTATTTCCCCCCCTGGGAAACCGAATTCTTTCTCATGTAAATCAGGTTAGACCAAATTCAATTGTTCCTGCCTCCTGTCACTCCTGTCACAGGATTCCAGTTAAAATAATTCAGAAGTCTATTTCTACAGAGGGAGGAAAATTGGAGAATCCACTGAAAAACTCTCGAAGCACAGGAGAAACCAACAAGCAACTCTACTCATTTTGAATATATTTTTTTATTAAATTCTTAAAAAAAATAAATCTTCTTGCACAGTGTAAATGCTGTTCAGTTAATGATATTCATGCAAAATTGTTTTCAGAATTGTTCGAGACCTTCTTAAGAAGCGCAGTATTGTGCTATCCCGTTCCTCCTTTGCGAGTAGCGGGAAATACGCGGGACACTGGCTTGGAGACAATGTTGCAAAGTGGAATCAAATGCATGCTTCGATTATTGGTGAGTTTTGTCGAACAGGATTAATGGTTATGTCAACAATTAAGTGGCTTGTATTCTGCTAATGGGTCCGGGTGGCTTGGTATATCAATAGATTGAATGAATCTCATTACCAGCCTACAATGACAGGCAAACACTGCCCGTCATGTGCTATCAACCAGAGAGTATCCTGGTTGATAGCACGTACAATATGGCACAAATACCTCTATTTACTAATGTACAAATTACTCTGTTTCAGGGATGCTGGAGTTTAACTTGTTTGGTATGCCTTACGTAAGTTTTCAATATTGCCACCTTCATTACATCTAGTTTGATATCACGACTATATTTGAATACTCTTGAATTTACTTTTGGCCCAATGTTTTTTTTAAAATAAGATTCTCTCTTTGAATGTCTTCTCATGTACAATGGTTAAACAAAGAAATCATACTCTAGGGAATGACACGTGGTGTTATGAAACAGGAAACTATTATGCCCAAAGTAAAGAGGTTAAAAGATTCCTCTTTTCTCTCTCTCTCTCTCTCAAGATCGGCGCTGATATCTGTGGGTTTTTTGATGCTCCGTCAGAAGAGCTATGTACGAGATGGATGCAGCTGGGAGCGTTTTACCCATTCAGTAGAAATCACAATGGCTTCGGAAACAAGGTAGAATAAGTTTGCCACAGCTTTTTTTCTTAGTAAATAGCCTACACTTATTTTAACTTATGCCCTACAAACATCCTTTGATATTGCTGGCCGTGGACAATATTAAATACCTCGAAGACGTAAATGAATTATTGAAAGAATAATTGGCGAGAAACGTTGAAAGAGAAGAGAAGGGAAGAGAAGGGAAGAGAAGAGAAGAGAAGAGAAGAGAAGAGAAGAG